TCAATCCTTCTCCCTTCTCGGTGGATTAAAAACAAGCTTAATGTGTTACTTTACCAAGGATTAAGAGAAATCATGCACCACACCCACAATCCCCACTCCCAACCCTCTCCTCAATCTTCTCCCCTGCCCATCCTCCCTATACTGCAGCAAGTGGCATTGGTACAGATCTGATGATATCTGAGTATTTGTATCTATAAAATGGTCTTGGAGTGCAGGGATTACTTTGCTTGAACTTAATGCAAATGGGGTTGTAAGATATGAAAGCTGTGGAAAGCAGTGTTAATCAAGAAAGCTTTTGGACATGAATTTGGTAAATGGTCAATGGTCAATGTCCGACTTTCTTTTGCTTTTTTGTGTGTTCACTGTTCTTTTTGCACTGGACAAGTGTTGTGCGCTGTTAACATACACGAGACAGGCACTACTAGACATTGGCAACTCACACAATTATCTGGACTCTACTCTTTTCTTACCCCTGGAGCTTTCCGCTCTACCACCGGAACTTACAGCCATTGTTTTCCCGCGGCAGCCACCGCCACCACTCCCAGGAAGGCCACGAAGCACCAAGCCCAAGTGAGCCAGCCGACCCCAGGAGAGCACTTTGGAGACAGTGACGCAAACAAGGCAATAGGGGTGGGCTCCATGCTAGGCTAAAAGCTCGGGCTAGCCAACCACCTCTTACTAGCCAATGTGCGGTCCCTGGAAAACAAACTCGACGAAATATGAGCCAGGATCACAACACAGCAGGAGATAAGAGAATGCTGTGCTCTTATTTTCACCGAGACCTGGCTTTCAGATAAAGTCCTGGAATGTGCCGTCCAGTTGCAGACTCACTCTGTACACTGGAGAATCCGGTAAGGCTTTTGGGGGAGGTCTATGTGCATTTATTAACAACTCGTGGTGTGGTGACGTGCAGACTGTCTACAAGTACTGTTCGCCAAACGTGGAGTTTCTAATGCTGAAATGCCGCTCTTACTATCTGCCGCGGGAGCTCTCAGCTGTGTTTTTGGCCATTGTTTACATCCCGCCGCGAGCTGACTTCGCAGCAGCGCTCGGCAAACTCCACGAAGTCATCAGCGCATTAGAGACAACTGCAGTATGCCTACTGGCCCAACAGGTCCACGTCAGACACCATCGCTGCTGCCACTACTCACTCCCCCGCCTGGAAAATAATGACTCCTACATCAGGGTACTCTTTGTTGATTATAGCTCCGCCTTCAACACAGTCATCCCTCAAAAACTCATCCACAAACTGTCTACACTCGGCCTGCACCCCACCCTCTGTGACTGGCTACAGAACTTTTTGACTGGCAGCCTCAGTCTGTCTGGATCGGCAACAGGACTTCAGCCAGCATTACAACAAACACTGGAGTTCCACAGGGTCATACTGAAGTTCACGGATGACACTGCAGTGATCTGTTGCATCACTGGAAGGGACGAAGTGGCTTATAGGAGAGAGGTGGCCGGTCTGGTGTCATGATGTGAGGACAACAAACTCACCCTCAAAACTGATAAAACAAAGGAGATGATAGTGGACATGAGGAAGAAGACGAGGCCTCACCAGCCGCTGTTTATCCGGGAGAGTGAAGTGGAGAGGTTGAGCAGCTTTAGGTATCTGGGCGTTCATATCAGTGAGGACCTCACCTGGACACTGAACACCACACAGTGGTCAAGAAGGCTCACCAGCAGCTGTATTTCCCGAGGAGCCTGAGGAAAATTTGGTATGTCAGCCAAGATCCTCAGCAGCTTCTACAGCTGCATTGTGGAGAGCACATTGACCAGCTGCATCATGCATGGTACGGCAGCACTACTGCTATGGACCGCAAACGCCTGCAGAGAGTGATAACAACTGCGGAGAGGATCACCAGGACCTCACTTGTCTTCATTTACTTATTTGTACTTATTTATCTTTCAGTATTTTTATCCTTATTTTACCTTATTTATCTTAATATCTTGTCTTATTTTATCCTTATTTATCTTGTCCTTCAACCCTACCTAACTTGGCATTAGAAGAAGAAGAATTTCATTGCACAGAGAAATGCTATTTCTTCTGTACACATGACAATAAACATTTTGAATCTTTGAATGGTAACTTTATTGCCCCAATGGGACATTGATTTGTAGTATGTCAACACATCAATAACACACACACACACACACACACACACACACACACACACACACACACACACACACACACACACACACACACACACACACACACACAAAGAAACATCCCAAATGTTATCAGTAGCATCAACAAAGTGCAATGTGCAGTAGTGATGGCAACAACACTTATGGCTTAGTGTTATTGAGCATAACAATAGCAGCAGGTATAAAAGACACTCTATGTCTCTCGGTCTTCCCTGCGGCACTTTATGCCAGCGACCTGAGGGAAACAGGTGAAAGTCTCTAAAGAGAGGATGGTCTGAACATGACATGACAGAGGTTGCCTTCCTCAGCACTGGGCTGATTAAAACAGATTCAATAAAACTTTTATAAAAAAGGTAATCATCTGAGGTGAAACGTTAAAATCTCCTTAAAAAGTACAATCGTTGTTTTACCTTTTTTCCCTGTAGAGTCAAAATGTGACTCAAAGGACAGAGCCTTATCAAGAGCAACCTCCAAATACTTATGACTATCCACCAGTTCAATGGCTGCACCATTTACTACTGTTGGAGGGGGCTTCCTGAAGTAAATTACCATGTCCTTAGTTTGTAAGGTTTGATCTTTAAGGACTGATCACACCAAGAAGCAAACTCATCCACAGCAGGTCCATGGGAATACTCTTCACCATGAAGGACGCGTACAATGACTGTGTCATCTGCATATTTAATGAAATGCCTTTCAGCCTGTGTACTATGACAGTCATTAGTGTACAAAATATATAGCAGGGGAGAGAGAAAACAAAGCTGTGGTGAACCAGTGGAAGAATTCAGCTGATTGGAAAAACAGCCGTTTACTCTCACACACACTGAGATCTGTCAGTTAAAAAGTCTAAAATCCAACCAACAAGATTAAAATCACGTTTAAACTGGTTAAGAAGCTTATCAGCTAGGAGATGTAGCTGGATATTATTAAATGCTGAAGAAAAGTCAATAAATAGGTGCCAGTCATGGGCTTTGGCCCCATCCAGATGGTGATATAGGAAAATCAGTGGGATGTATCAAGAAGAAAAGTGTACTTTACTGGCAGTCAAGCCTTCATGAGTCAAAGCTTTGAGTTCTAAGCAATAGTTTACTGATTGGTACTGTGAAATTAAATAAAATCCATAATGATGCATTTGGTTGGTTTGACTCTATTAAAGAAGAAGAATCAGCTTTAATTGCTTTCCACCTGTCTCCTGTACAGAGATGTGGGTGGATGTTAACGTACAAATAACTTAATAAAATCTCCACTGAGTTTTAAGGACACCAGAAAAATTGGACTCTGGAAAAGAGACACAATTCCACCAAGACCTAAGCGTAAATTTCTGTATATACTCAAGTTTATCAATTAAATATTATTATGTTTATCTAACCTATTACAAGTAGATTAAAAAATATATTTTAACTAGTAACTCAAAAAGGTTTAAACATCAGAAGGAAAAAAATTGTGTGACAAGGTCTGACTCAGGTGTTGGGAACCTGTAAACAATGATGAGTAGTGGGGTACTGGAATAAGAAGGGAGTTACATGAAGAGGATGTGAGACCTATGGAAGCGTTGATACCCAGCATCAGGACTGACAGTGAATTCAACAAGTAGCTTAGTGTTCCAAGATTTGGAAGAAGCAACTGCTGTTACAACTGCAGATCAATGAGGTACAACACAAATGCTACGACAAAGGGGAGCCAGGACGTCTGGTCAGTGGGGAGATTTCAACCCCAGCCAAGATTTGATACCATGGTTAACTACCGAAGGTGTGTTAAGTGTGAGAGCTGCTCACCTGAGAGATAGGAAAGTATAAGAAAGCTGGACCTGGACACTATGTGGCAGATTACCAAGACTCTATAACATATCCTCTGAAGGTCTACTACAGGACGTGAATGCAGCATTACAGACTACACCTACTGTGACCATCACCAAAACCAATCAGCTGATCTACACCAAAGCAGCAGTGATCACAGAGATGCTTGGCTATAAGACAAACTGCCACAAGTACCCTCTATGGAGAAAAGGACTAGAGGAGAGTGTGGAGGGAAGTAAGCCAACTATTGATACTGCAGAAAGGTGTGATGAAGAAAGGGTTGCTTAAGAAGTACAGCAAGCTGTCCATGCCTTAGGCGTTGAAAACTGCCAAGGAAAGACTCTCAGCCTTGGCCAGTCACTTATAGAGGTATACCAGAGAGAAAGGAGGCAGGAGAATAAACCAGCTGTACTCCATTGAACTATCTAAGGTGTATTCTCAGTGGCAGGGCAACAATATGCGAACAGCCCCACCAAGGCTGGAGACAGAGCAATACTGGAAAAGCGTGAGGGAGAAGGACGCAACCCATAACATCAATGCTCAGTGGCTAGTGGATCTAAGAGCAGACCACAGCAACCTCCCTGAACAGGATCCAGTAGCCTCTGGTAGAACAAATAAACCAGTAATGGCTAACTGAAGTTCTGATCCCAAAGGATCCCCAGAAGGTCCCATCAACTACTGGCCAATAACCTACCATGTGTTCCTGTGAGAATTACAAGATCTGGGCAATCAACACTTATGGCCTATCATGCACAAACCTGAAAAAGCTTATTACCATGCATGGAGGGTTTAGGGTTTGGTGAGACATGCCCAGAACACCTCCCAGGACCAGATAGTCCACAACAACAGGAGAAATACCCCATACTCTTGACACTCTCTTTACCTGCTCCCTACTCTCACTACAGATCACAATTTTTCTGCAAACACCATAGACACTTGTCCATTACCATTGCAAGAAGCAGCTCAATGCTAATCCCTTATGTAATTCAACCCTGACTTTAATCAACATCTAATGCTATGTGAAAGACAAACAAAAGCAGAAATTTCTACACCTACCTCCAAATGCTGGCCTCATGGTGAAGTCATGGTCATCTACTTTGAGCAGGTGTTCTGTCTTCATTTGTGAGATTTCGTCACATCTGGAGGCTTCTTTGACAAGGAGCTACAGCAGGATGACAGTCACTGTCAGATAGCTGATTTAAACAGTTTTGATTATTAAGAATTAAAAAATAATGCACCAGGAAAGAATGGTACAAAATAATATGCACTGAATAAGAAATGTATGAACTGATTTATGCCGATATGATTGATGATTGAAAAGTTCAGTTCAACATAAGCAAATCAGTCACTCTGTTTGACGCCAGAGTGACTGAGTTTATTGTTTGTACTGTTTGTACAATTACAGTATTTGTGTTTTTGTTGAGTAGAGGCCATGCTGGGGTATTGTATTGCTTTACACATTGGTTAAATTCAATTCAATTCAGTCTTATTCAAATTGTGCCAAATCACAACAACAGTTGCCTCAAGCCATGTGTTGTAATGACTCCTCTGTTAGAGCATTCATTTGTGGCTTAACCTTCCTGCCTTCTTGGGACCTTTTTTGCCACTGCTATGTGTTAAATGGCTGCCATTTCCACTGTGTTCAGTGGAATATAACCAAACTTGCCACAGGATAGTTTTTACCTGTCAATGTTAATATTCCAGTGTGAATTCCTTAAATCAGCCTAAAATGGCTGAGCAGCAGAAATCCCCACACCCATCACCCTGGGGACCATTTTCTGCCCATTGACTTCCATTATAAACGCTATTTTTCAACCCCAAATTATCATCATATGATTTTATTTTTTCTTCTTTTCTTGGATGTCAATGAAGACTCAGGGCCTTGAAGTTTTAATTTTAAATTGCAAAAAAAAAAAAAAATGGCAGGTCAAAATGTATGTTGGTGCCAATCTTTGGTCCATCTAAAGGCCTACTTATAATGACAATCACATATTACTTCAACTGGTTTTTTGTGGAAATATTTAGTTTCGTTTTTGGTTTTTGGGGCTTATAACACAGGGCGCTCATGTAATAACACTGGGATTTGAAGGGTTAAAACAACGAAAATATAATTAAAACTTTACATGAATATTTCAGGGAGAAGTAGTTTTACAAGGTTGGCTAATTTAAAGTGGAATAAAATATGGATATATGGTCTTTTTATGGCGTGGCTGAGAATGGTCCCTAGGGTGATGGGTGTGAGTTTTTTAAAGGATGGCAGGAGGGTTAAAAAGGAGAAAACCTACCTGGCCCTGTGTGAAAAAGTAATTGCCCCTCTTGTTAAATCAGGATTGAACTGTAATTGTCCACATTTTTGGAAAGCTAAGTCCTGATTACTTGCAGATCTGGCAGAAATCACTCAATAGAACATGTCTGACAAAGTGAAGCAGGCTAAAAGATCTCAAAAAGTATCCTCGATCTAAAGAAACAGCTGAGTAATAAAGTTAGACTTCTATCAGTCTGGAAAGGGTCACAAAGCCATCTGTAAGGCTTTGAGAACTCCACAGTGAGAGCCATTATGCACAAATAAAGAAACAAGGAATAGTGGTGAACCTTCCCAGTGCCATGATTCCACTGTGTGGCAGGCAGGATTAGGACCCAAATGCAGGACTTCGTACACATGAGGATGAACTAAAAAAGGCAGCTTTATTTTGCTGAAAAACCATAGAATACTAAACTGGAAAACTTGAAACTAAGACTAGGGAATGGAAACTAGGAGTTACAAAGGAACACGAAGCACAGGAATCACACAGCTACGAGGGACGATGTGACAACAAGCTCATGCAGATGGTCATAGTCAGATGCGACCAAAATCAAGCTCTTTGGCATTCAATTCAATTTTTTCAATTTTATTTATACAGCGCCAAATCAACAGTTGCCTCAAGGTGTTTTATATTGTAAGGTAGACCCTGCAATAATACATAATATTAGACTGCATTTATATAGCGCTTTTCTAGGCACCCAAAGCACTTTACAAATCCACTATTCATTCACTCTCACATTCACACACTGGTGGAGGCAGCTACAGTTGTAGCCACAGCTGCCCTGGGGCAGACTGACAGAAGCGACGCTGCCATATCGTGCCATCAGCCCCTCTGGCCAACACCAGTAGGCGGTAGGGTAAAGTGTCTTGCCCAAGGACACAACGACCAGGACGGAGAGAGTAGGGGGATTGAACCGGCAACCTTCCAGTTACAGATGAGCTTCCCAATCCCCTGAGCCACGGTCGCCTCAGAGAAAAATACAGAGAAAACCCAAATATCATGACCCCTTATGAGCAAGCACTTTGTTGACAGTGAGAAGGAAAATCTCCCTTTTAACAGGAAGTAACCTCCAGCAGAACCAGGCTCAGGGAGGGCGGGCCATCTGCTTCGACCGGTTGGGTGAGAGAAGGAAGAGGGATAAAAGACATGCTTTGGAAGAGAGCTAGAGATTAATAAGAAGTACATTTCAATGCAGAGGTCTATCTGGCAGGCAGGATGCAGGACTCAAACTCAAAAGGTGAACTTAAAGTGGCAACCTTATTTGCTAAAAAAACAAAACAAAAAAAACATCCTTCATAATATAACTTACAGAAAACAAACCAAAAACCTAGAGCATAAAACTAAGGATAAAACACTGAGAAATTAGAAGTGTAAAAAGACCAGAAACACGACAAAGGGCAAAGGAAAACTCAGGGCTTAAATACATAAGGGAGTAATGATGGAATGGGAAACAGGAGGGGAACACAGCTGGGACTAAAGGGGAAGCAAAACTAGATACAGTGACACGGGACAAGGGACCGTCAAAGTAAAACAGGAAACATGAGACAATCACAAAGACACAAACTAGACTCTGAGACACAGAAACACAACTGAAATGGAAACAGGGAACGTGGAGACGAGTGACTAGAAATGGGACACAGGGAAGACAAAGTAACAGAAACCTAAATTCTAGGAACTAAAAATAAAACACAAGCAGAAGACGATAATGAGAAATCAAAACCGTGAATAACAATAATCAAGGAATATAAATTAATCCACAACCACAAAACACTGGGTTGCAGACCCAATTAACACATAAGTGAGAAAGGTGATTGAAGAAGAAAGTGCATCATGGGAATCCTCCAGCAGCCTACACCTATTGCAGCATAACTAAGGGAGGATTCAGGATCACCTGGTCCAGCCCTAACTATATGCTTTAGCAAAAAGGAAAGTTTGAAGCCTAATCTTAAAAGTAGAGATAGTGTCTGTCTCCTGAATCCAAACTTTAAGCTGGTTCCACAGAAGAGGGGCCTGAAAACTGAAGGCTCTGCCTCCCATTCTACTTTTAAATACTCTAGGAACAACAAGTAAATCTGCAGCGTGAGAGTGAAGTGCTCTAATGGGGTGATATGGTACTACAAGGTCATTAAGATAAGATGGGGCCTGATTATTTAAGAGCCTGTACGTGAGGAGCAGGATTTTGAATTCAATTCTGGATTTAACAGGAAGCCAATGAAGGGAAGCCAATATAGGAGAAATCTGCTCTCTCTTTCTAGTCCCTGTCAGGACTCTTTCTGCAGCATTTTGGATTAACTGAAGGCTTTTCAGGGAGTTTTTAGGACATCCTGATAATAATGAATTACAGTAGTCCAGCCTAGGGCTGCTCGATTATGGCAAAAATGATAATCACGATTATTTTTTACTGAAATTGAGATCTTGATTATTTGACGACATTTATTTAACCCTTACGACCTACTATAGAACCAAGTCCGCCAGAGCTTATATTATTTTTTTTACATGCTGTAGTGCCATTTGTGGGAGCATTTCAAGTTGCTATACAACTATTATAGCCCATATTTTAATAATATGTATGCGTTAAGTCCATAGTAACTACATTAATTGCAAAAAAGTGCAATAAACTACAAAAAAAGTAAATCATTTTGTTTTGTTTTTTACATATATTTCTACTTGGAGAAATTTAAGAGGTTTATCCCTCAAAACTTTAAATACAAAAAAGTTGCAAAAAATAGTTTACAACAACACGAAATTTATTTTGAGTGTCTTCATAGTTTTATTTTGGAGATACACCAATTTTTATATACTGCAGGAAAAACGAAAAAACAATCCTATGATGCAAATTTGCAAAGAAAACAGCATGTGCATCAAAATAAACTATTTCCAGCAGTGCAATTCGAGTTCTAAGCATCACAGAAACTATTCAGAAAGGTCAAACATGACCAGTATAGGCTTTTAAGGCCTACAAGTAAAAAACTACATTTTCCGCGAAAATGACGTCATTTCCGGTTTCGGGCAGGAAATGGCGGACATACGCGATAATTCACACTGACTTCTGTTTCACTGTTGGAAGTGTTACGAACAGCTGATCGGATCGGCAAAGCGTGTTTCTGGAATATTATGTTTTTGTTCCTGCAAGCGCTTTTTATGCAATTTTTGCAAAGCTTTATGTGGAAGGAAACCGTGACCGAGGACAAGCTGATGTCATAAGATGTAAGTACAACTCCTCTGGTTTCATATGCAAAAAAAAATTATTGCCCTAGCTTACAGGGCTCAGGGTTCTTCAGGGATTTAAAAATAGTTACACAAAACGGAGCGTGCAGCTCTGACCGGCTTTAAAGGGTTAACAATAACAATGTATTGAATAATGACTTTAAAAATAATATAAAATAGTGTGCAACACCACTGAAGTTTTTTTTAACCTCTCTTTTCAACCAACGGCAGTCACTCTCCTCTCCAAATAACTTCTGCTTAGCTTTCCGAGCTTCCCTCGGGTCCTCTTAATCAGCGGTCTCCACCCTTTTTTGCGCCACGGATCGGTTTATGCCCGACAATATTTTCACGGACCGGCCTTTAAGGTGTTGCGGATAAATGAGGGAGGGGCTAATAATCGGCTCAGTCATTTTTAATGATCGTTGAAAGCCCAGATCGTAATCGTGATTAAAATTCGATTAATTGAGCAGCCCTAGTCCAGCCTAGAAGTAATAAATGCATGAACTAGTTTTTCAGCGCCACTCTGAGACAGGATATTTCTAATTTTAGAGATACTGCCCAGATGGAAGAAAGCAGTCCTACATACTTGTTAAATATGTGCGTTGAAGAACATGTCCTGGTCAAAAATGACTCCAAGGTTCCTCACAGTGTT